TGATATCACGTACTTTTTTGGTGTGTTGTGCACATAATGCTAAGTAGGGCTTCAGGATGTATTTTTGAAATGGGCTTTGCTTCCTACAAACGTCGATTGTTTCTAAATAAACCTACACCTGATTTTTGTTTTATGGGAGCCGGTTCCAACGAATCTAATCATGTAAAATTTTTACGCACGCTTATAACGCATATAGCAGGCAATATATTTTTGGTTAGTGTCTAACTTTGAAGAAATTTAAGTAGCATTATAGTGGTTTACTTTCAAGTGCAGTAGACGTCTTAAACGCCGTGATTTTGGGCGAATAATTGATAGTATCCACTCCCAGTTTTAAAACTTTTATTATTTCTTGATTAGGTAATAAATTAAAAGATGAGAGCAGATACAAACTATGCACGTCAGGGAGTTGAATAAAGTAGCAGATGTACATGATTTATTTGTAATAATTAATAATGTCCAATTAGGATTACAGTAGCTTTATACATGTTAAATGTACTTAATTTTGAAATGAATAGTTTTATTTTTTACATAATTAAATCTCTTAGATAAATTACATGCATGACAAGGACTGAAATGGCTGCGGCGTTGTTGTTAAACCAGTCCCGTTTATGGCATCTTCAGAACTTGATATAAACATTTGAACTTTAAAGTACTTGAAAAGAACACTAACCGCACACATAAAAGGTTTACCTACACCAGCTGAACCAGAACCCATGTGTGAAAGTACGAATTCAAGAAATCTGTTTCACTTCAAAATTTACATGGCGCAACATAATAATAAAAATCGTGCGGCATCCTCATGATGTAGTGGATTGCATGCGGCGCGATTTGACCCATTACGCTACAGTAGCATTAATTAATGGAACAATGCCTAATAGATATTGCACGTGACTTCATAACGGTCACAGTAGGAAATAACAGACATTACATTTGTATTACTAGGCATTCAAATGATTGCATCTTGTTACTACTACAACATTGCATTGCTCAACTATAAACATTATATTATCTCCGCGGAATATCTCGGAAGCTATACCAAAGATAAACTACTTTCATAGGTTCAGCATCAAACCGGACGATAAAATTATTCTTTCAATTTGTTACAAACATTATGGATGACGTTACACATACCTACCTATTCCACTCTGTGGTCGTGGCGTATTGTTGATGAGAAGCATGAACAAGGGAAATAAATTAAAATTGGTCGATTATCATCAAAGCTCAAGTTGTTCTGTTAGTACTCAAATAATTTTTTCATGTTAAGCTTGGTGTTTGAATTTAGTACTTTTGTGAATTACTTATGTTACCCGTCGATTAAGAATCAACGACCACGTCATATTGGTCGACGACCACGAAACGTGATTAATTTAGGCGAATTTGTGTGATGATGTAAAATGCCATTTTAAAGGCGAAAACGGCACATCAATTAGCTGTCCTACACTTGATCCTTAAGGGACAGTTATGTGAAAATGTGCATAGCATCATTAAAATTTATATAATATAATATCCCCGTTGTTTCCGCAAAAATCGATTGTCCCAACACAAATGGGACACATATAAATGAATTAAGTGACATTCAAATATAAGATTACGAAATTGGTAGTCGTAAAGTTGACCGGAACTCACAAAAGAAATGACCGCTACACTCCAATTCGTCTGATCTTATAAACCTCAATAAATCATCCCCTGAAACTGATATCTTTTCTAGACAAAAATGCTTGCTTCAAAAGTATTGTATATAACAGTCCGCTATTTGTATTACTGTTCTGTTCCGAATTCCATATTTTAAGTTACCTAAACTCTAAAAAAACGAAATTTTAATATTCGTATTTGAACGAGTACATATAACCACTTTTCTCGTTAATAAAAAATATGGGTTACTATTTGAACAAACAGTGTATGACGTCACTATTAACTGCTTTAGTTTTTTAACTTTGACATTTTTTTATCCGTTTTTTTGCAATAAAACCTCATTTTTGTAGGTTACGCAGAAACATAAGGTTTTTTCAATAAGTTAATAAAAATTTGAGGTTGCTATTTAAAAAAAGATGTTCAGTGCCGTTGGGGCCCCCAAAAATCCTGTCCCTTATTTTTCGTTTCCTCATGCCTATTATAATAATAGCGCCGCGCTAGAACATCTGGCGACGTTTTACGGAATAAGTGGGTATGGACCACTTAATCCGGCCCTAATTGGAAAGAATTCCTGGGAACTAGTGTGGCAAGCACTACGTTCGGCATATTATTACCCCAGGCTAAACCCCAGGTAGGTACTCATTTTTAACGAGAAGAAAAAACGCTAAAAATTTGAACAAAATCTGTGGAGTGTCGATATTTCCAGTGAGGGCGTGAGATTTTTTATTAGGTATAGCACAATTTTTATCAGGAGTAGTAGGTATATGACCGCCGTCACTGGTAAGCAATTTTTATAGGTATTAAAAGCCGATCGTTACCAACCGCACGATTCACCTGCGCAACAAGAGGCAAACTCTTAACGGGCGGACTGTACAGGGTGTCCCATTTTCAACACTTTTGCAGGGTATCTCATTCTCTATAATTGTCATTACTATAAAAAAAAGTACATAATTATAGGCGTCATGTGCTCTTTTTGAATCAAAGTTAAAATAGTGAAAGTAAAATTTGAAAATATTGTTTCGCTGAAGAAATACAGGGAAAAATATATTCTCTTAGTTGAGAGACAGAAAAATTTGTACACAAATGTTTCTTTATAATCATTGTTGAATAATGTCCCGTTTTCAAAATAAGTATACGTGGTCAGGTAAAGAAGTTATCGAACCTATAATCTTACTTTTTGAAATGGAACATCCTATACATTTGAATTTAAAAAGATATCACCACGAATATTTCAAAGATTCAAAAAGATTAAAAACGATTTTGAGAACATAAGAAAAGGTTTAAATATTTAAATAAATACCCAAAAAGTTGAATTTTTGAAATACTCTAAAATCTTTTTCGACTAAACGAGGTTAAGTCCGATAACTCTTTTACTTGACCCTTGAAAAAGGCTGATTATTCAAGAATCATAAATAAACTGTTCATTTTTCTGTATCTCTTTTAACTAAGAAAATGTACGGTCATTCTGAAATTGATAATTTTTTGATTTTCCCCCGCATCTCTTAAACGAGCGCATATTCTGATTTTACCATTTTAAGTTTGACCTAAAAAGAGCAGATGTCTATATTACTATTTTGATTGTACCTACTAACAATAACGGAGGTACCCTATAAGTGTCGAGAATGAGACACTCCTGTAGAGGATGGTTCAAATTCGTGGTTCACCATTGGGATCTCCGTAACAGTGAGAATGTAGGTTAAATAAAGCCAAAGTTGCCCATTTTTGTGACTAAAGTGAAACATTTTTGAAGATGAAAAAAATAAAAACTGAAAATGTGAAATTTCGATTTCATTTTTCCTTACTTAAACCGTTGGAAAAGGACGGTTCTCGTTAGCACCAGGTATGGGCACTCTTTCCGAGAATCTGAATCTGTTATCAGAATTTCCATAGCACGCTAGATATAGAAGCTACATGCTATGATTCTCTTATTTCTTATGGGCGCCATATTGGATTTTGACGGAATGAGATGGAGGACAAAAAAGAAATTCATTTAAATCGTCATCGGGCCATGTTGATTCAGCACGATCTAGTTACACGTGGATATTTTGTGGAGAGCAGTGTTTCTCAAACGGGTGGGGGGGGGTTAGAAATACAGTATTGTTTTTTTGATTATTTATTGCATGAAAAAGAGTTGGTTCTATTTGAAAATTCAAATTTTGTATTAAAATACTATTTCGGGTAAAATTTAATACAAAACTCGTGAGTAAAATGACATTACTTGACTCGGAAATTAACGTACTCGACCCCAGGCGGGGTCTCGTTCTTCAATATTCGCCAGTAATGTATCATTTTCCTTACTTTTATGTAAATTACTACAACGATAAAAGTAATTGTTAATATGTATTTTATCTGATTTGAGTTATCATGTAGATCAAACGTTTTCAGTTGTTATTGAAGTCCTCTCTATTGTTTACTAATTATAACTACAGTGCTGCTGAAATGAACTGTTAATTTAGCATAGGCCCCCAATTACTCTCGCACTCATAAAAATTTCATACTGCATCGCAGTTTTTGTACCTCGTCTGCAACCGTTAATACCGTCAGTTTTCATTTACTCCCGATCTTCTTGAACAAAATTTAATACGGTAACCAATTAGGACATAATTAGCACATTTTTTTTTAAAGTTAGTGTTTTCAAGTAACTTGTTTTTAAGGTATTCTCGATTCAGCTTGTCCTTACTAGAAATAATGAGATGGGGATAGGTTTATTATATCTTGGAAATGTTGAAATTATGGAAAATAGTCATCTCTTAAGGAAGGTAACAAATATCACTTGTGTGTTTTGATAGCTGGAGATAACAACTAGTCCTAGAGTTTGGATGGAAGGCGAGAGTATCAAGAAAACGTGTTGAGGTTCGGTTATAAGCCTCAAATGAAGGCAATTAATTAAGTAAATCAATGTTAACCAAAAATCGAAACATTTTGAATAGATACTATTAGTTGGTACCATTGCACTTACAGTACCTACAATTTTTAGTGAAGAAATTTTACTTTTATTACTGTAAGATGAACTGCGATTGGTATTGGCGGACATCCTCAACTTCAGACATTATTTTACGCACACCAAAACCATATAACATTTACTGACAGAAATGTAAGAGCAATTTGATCGACCTGTCGAAAATACGGCCGACGTATTTTCATTGTCTTCGTTAAAAGGCCATAAAATTTAACGATCTCGGAATTTCGGGCTCTTGAAAACATTCAATCTCGATTGCTGTTGACAGATTTACAGCGATATGGATATTTGCATAGGCTTAATTCAAACTTTACCAGCCGGTTTTTCGGCTAGTTTTTTTCGTTATTTATTTATTCAGCTAATCTTTAAAAAAAACCTTTAATAAACTTGTTCTCTTTTTTTTTTCAAGATGCTCATGCGACGAGGGATTCACCGGACGAGATTGCGAAAGCGAATATATTCCATGTAATCCTAGCCCTTGCCAAAACGGGGGCATGTGTCGGCAGAGAGATAAGCATACCTACAGCTGCGATTGTCCAACCGGTATGTACCTTTTCACTTGTGTAGGTGTTGGTTGAAACACAGATGTAAATCAAGTAGATTATGTCAGTATTCTGAATTTTCCAAAAATTCAACCGGTGCGGTGGTGGAGGCATTTGTAACTGTGAGCTTTCACTTCTCGATCCCTTTTTTGGATAGCTCAATATGACGATGACCTTTTGTACGCGGACGTATTGGCTCACGTTAGGTAATAAATAAATAAGAAATAAAAATAAATGTGCGTTTCACTTTTGTAACTCGATCTATAAGTGTAAACTGATAACCTAAGATTAAATTATTTCTTTTGGTAACAAAATCATTGAAGCGGTAAAAAGTGATCGGAATGTATCGTCTTTGAACGGAGCGGGAAAAATGAAAAAGTATTAAAAAGTTCGAACAATGGACTGTCGGCCTTGAAGAGATAGATCTGTGGTCGCCGTTGACCGAAACAATGATAAATGCACCATTGTGGATGACCACGAGAATTCGATAGCCACAGACTTTCCAATTGTTGATTGTGTCTCGGTTAAGCTTCTAATCTGAAACTGTTTCGTTTAGCTGTAGGGCTAAAAAGACCAATATGTAAATCTGCTCTCTCGCCTCGATGTCTTGACCTTGTTGCAGGAAAGAATCGTATACGCTTGATCGAAAATAGTTAATTGAAGATAATCAACCAGAAATTTTGTTGTACAGTACAGTACTTATTCTAGTACAATAAATTGTTAAATGTTGTTCACCTTTGGGCGATGAACGAACCTCATTGGCACACATCGTTCGTTAAATATATCATCTTCTCGCTGTCACGCGAACTCGCAGAACGATTTCATCTCGAGCACTCTTTCTTCATAAATTAGATTAACAATGTTCTTTATAAAAATGTAGCGGAAATGACACGTCACGTCAATAATACAGCATTCATGTTCTTGAACTTTTTTGTTACTTGAAAATACCTTCGAAATTCATTGATGGATAAGAGCAGTTTTGTATCTCGTTCACGAAACGCTGAAGCATGCTTCCCAGACCTTTTTTTCGTCCCCCCCCCCAAATATAAAATTCCTCAAGCGATTTTCGAAAACAGGGCCTCTTTCGTTTTCAATGCCCCACTCATTAGTTGACAGTTTTTTTACATCCTACACTCCAATTATTTTTATTTATTTCATAATTTTTCACCCTTAATTCCAAATGAGTGCGTTAAGTGCCATTTTTCAATTGTGGGAGATGTGTGCAACTAAAATTTCCAACGTTCGAACATTTGTATCGAAGTGGAATCAAATTTCACTTAACTTTAAGATTGCCATCTCACCATAGCCGGAGTACCAATCCTTTAAAAAATGTAAACGTTCTCTTAAATCAACCATTTATATCCTTCACTTTTCCTTCAGCAATGCTTCAAAACGTGCATTAGTTATTGTGGAGAGGGTATACACTGTGTCCCATTTTGGTTGACACTGCAGTGTATATTATATCATATGTTTCAAAATTGTGAAATGACACGTTTCTATCATCAGGCATGTTTATTGATTTAAAGCAGCAGCCTTAATTATCATGGATACAAAAAAAAAACAAAATATCCATGAATCCATAACCTACTATTTAAAAACAGTAAAAAGTAAAGGTTTCATGGCTAAAATTGAAAACAAAAATAGGTTGTGATGCAGAAATGTAATTAGAAGAAAAATACAAAAAAATTGACGTTTAAATATACAGGGTGTTGCATTAAAAAAAACAGGTTGTAAAGATTAAGACTTGCGCTTTTTTGCGACCCCATGCCACTTTTCTATGAAACTTTTAATATCACAAACAGAATCAATCTAGCTACGTTTGCTTCTGAGATACTGGGTGAAAACGAAAAGTTTGACTTTTGGAATGTTATCGTATCTTATTACCCATGTAAAAAAGAAAAAAAGGTATAAATCTATAAAGTATAAACTGTATTTTAGATATTTTTACGTAGAAACCAGTGACGTAGGTAGACGAAAAAATTTTTAGACAACACTGATCCAATGTTGCAATTTTTTTAATGCAACACTCTGTATATCTAAACGTCAATTTCTTTGTATTTTTCTACTGATTACATTGCTGTATCACAACCTATATTTTTTTCAATTTTAGCCATGAAACCTTTACGTTTTTACTGTTTTTAAATAGTAGGCCATGGATTCATGGAGATTTTGTTTTATTTTTTGTATCCATGGTAATTAAGGTAGCTGCTTCAAATCAATTAACATGCCTGATGATAGAAACGTGTCATTTCACAATTTTGAAACATCTGATATAATATAATATATAATTATATAAAAAATATAGGTTGTGATACATCAATGTAATCAGGAAAAACAATGCAAAAAATTGACATTAAAATATACAGGGGGTTTATATTTTAAAAATACCAACTACTGGATTCTACGTAAAAATATCTAAAAAAATTTTTAACCTTATATATAAGATATATGAATTTGAAAAATGACAGCCATAAATGAGATAATATAAAAATAACTTAAAAAAAATAAATATAAATATAAATGTATATTATTATGGGATATGTAACGCTCTCAAAACAGTCAAGATGCTCCCGCACTCGATTCGGATTTGTACACTTTCAATTCGCCAACTAGCTTCCAGCGGAGGCTGGGCGAGTTCAAAAATAAAATGTTCGAGCGCCACAGAGTTACAATTTTTTTTAAGAGTTAAGTGTACAAAACCTTGCAACTACTGGATAACTCTGAATTCCAGTAGCCACGAGTCGTTCGCCACAAGACTGTATAGAATAAAAACAATCCAGCAACGTTTGGTGCTTTTTATTTACACAAAGCGAAAATAATAAATCATTCATAGGCACGATAACAATATAAATAATAATTAACGCTTATGATGGTATATCAGTTTCGTCAATAAACAGAAAATTAGGTTTCTTGCCTGCACACAAATTAATCAGGTAAGGTAAATGACTAACGGCGAATAAATGAGTGATTGGATGACTTAGAATTACCAGCGTTCCGGTGTACGGCAATCCCTCTCTGAGACCTGGACAACTATAAAGAGCAAAGCTAACTGTTAACCTTCCCAAAGCTACTGGAACCACGTACCCCTAAACCCAAAGCAATTGCTGTAGATTTCTAAATTATAAATTCAACAGGAATACTCAAATAACGCAACCTAGCCCCCCGTACAATGTACAACTGTATAATCGGTAATGTAAAGCAATGATAGTGAATTCGGTATGCAAGCGATGGCGAAATGTCCAATGGAGTGTACTTTCCTGCAAGCTACTGCTAACTACTACCCAAGCTACTACTCAAGCTGGTTAATAAATTCCCAAGCAATAATCTACTACTATACAAACAACAATATAACAAATTCAAATATGTACAAACGATAAATTAACACTTTTCCCAAAATATGTTATAAAGGAGTGCAACTTATCTACTGGCTGCGCTGTAACACCCTTTTATTGGAATGGCAACCTTGATCCCACGCTGACTGCTGATAGGACTGAATTGACCGTCGATGGAATGTCCCCTTTGACCTCACCTTGGAGATAGCGCCAAGACCAATGGAACTCAGGTGTGCAATCGTAACGAAGTTAATTGATTTGATTAGCCCCGTACTAAAACTAAATGGGAATTACCAAAAGTGTCTTACCACTGAAGATATATATAAAAAGAACACTGAACTTACCCCTAACAGAATTAGGGCTGACGTAGATATTCTTCTTAAAAATTGATTGCTCTTTAGAGCCGGAAATCCGTAATATGAGGAACAATCGGATGAATCCAATTAAAACGCTCCTCAATCCAAAAACAATAGCAATTACCCAATCCAGAAAGACTGCTGCAGACCCTCTACTCCAAAAATCCGAGTCTTGAGGAATATACAAATTTTCGGTAAAAGCTACCCACAATCAAATTCAAAGATCGTCGTCTTAGTGCTTGTAATTACGAAGCAATGTCGAATGTAAAAGTGAAATTGTTCCCATAATCTACCTACACGAAAATGAAGATAACCTGAGGGTCATTGTCAGAATTATACAAAGAAAATTGAGTTGCCTACAATAAGGATGAAACTTGCCCATAAAAATTAATAAATTAAAATTAAGAAAAATAAATGTCACAGATAGTGGGGAGGGCGGCTCCATCTTCATAGGCATATGTACCCTTCCATTTGTGGCGGGTACCACGGATACACAATACACATGCTGGTGGCTCTGATTATTGCTATGCTTATTCTAGCACGTAGCCAACCCATTACTATAGATAGGGGTCTGGTCCATCGATCAGCAAGGACCTCACCCAGGTGTCTTATAAAAGATGTCAATTGTGGGGCAAAAACACCATCAGTGGAAGTTACAAGTGGGGTGAACGTTGTATGACGAGTCTCACATGGGCCACAGTATTTCCGTTTTTTTTCTTCTTCGGCTGAATGTAAGACAGCAGCTACAGAGCGTGATACATAAGAAGGAGCGTCGGTGTCAACAACACGTATATCAAATAACGCCTCCCTCTGTGCAACCCATACTCCATGGCAGGCCAGGTCACTTTTGTTACATTGCCCCAGGCTTGCTGACATAGTTCCCCAAAAAGATCTCGTATTTCGTTATGTCTGCGTGTAATGAGTCCACCCGTTTTGCAACAAAGGGCATGATCAATATTGAATTCATCACTGCCGCAGCCATCGCAGGATATTGGCATGGAGACTGCTGTACGGTGATATCTAATGGCAAGAGCATCTCTGAATTCATGGGGTGAAAGGTCGAAATTGTCTTTTTTCGTTGGTATTACTGAAAGCCAGGTGGATGTTTTTGTATGCATTTTTGTTGCTATTGATCTTTCAATTGTTCGTTTCTGTTTATGTGGCAGTTTTGTTAGAATCATCTCCAGTATTTCATGTTCATATATTTCTTTTTGTTGATTTCCTTCTCTTTTTGCAACATATAGAGACTTGTGGTGTTCAGCAAAATTTATATCCTGACAGTTGATTAAGGATGTGGATAATATTGATGAGCC